AACCGGGTATCACGTATGCACTCGTGACAGTTTTGGCAGGGAAATTGTCTCCTGAACTGCGAAAGCTAGGGACCTAAAACTTTGGCGTAGCATATCCTGCCCACGTACAACTACGCAGATTTTCAACATCTCCGTGGAAGTTTTGGCGAAAAAAGAAAATCATTATCTCGGGAGCTAGAAGAGGTAATAGGTGAAAATTTCATAAGAATATTACCTGCCTAAGCAGGGACTTCACAAACTCGAATTCAGTTCCTAAGTATGCCGAGGTCTCACGTACGACCGTGTGAAAGTTTCGTCTCAAAGGTCTTTCGAAAGTCAAAAAACTAGGAGGTTGAAATTTTGGAAGGATATTCACCTTCCGAGGTTTCAAATTCAGCTTTCCCGTAGCGGTGTTTTTTAACTATTTTTCAACATTCCACCTATTTTTGTGCAGATCAAAAGTACAAAGCAGTGAAAACGATTAACAGGTAATCGTTCGGTGGACAGAATTGCACAAAACGCATGATCACATCGACTATTCTGGTGCGCGCTGCTATTTATTTGTATTGCATAAATGCAAGAAACGCATAAAAACGGTGAATGTGAAAACGTCAAAATTGCGCTGAACGACGCTGCGTAAGGACATCTTCTGCCCTATATTCACAATACGCATTTTTGCAACTGTTTTAGTACAAAACTTATAAAAAACAGTAAAAAAAATGCCAAATTTTTTGAGTAAATTAATGGAAAATAAAGAGTGCCAAAGAACAGTTGGGGGGAGCGGGGGGGGGGGGCTTTTTTGACGAAGGAAAACTAGAATTGTTATTTTAGTTTATAACCACGCAGTAGTAATAATAGCAATACCGGGCAAAAAAAAAAAAAAAAAAATGCACTATTTGAGTTTTACTCGAAGTTTTATGACGTACCTCTATCCGTGATTATCTGTACTGCACTTCCGGCAGGTGACTGATCTGATCTATCCAAATTTTCTGGATTATGCCAATTTCCCACGGCCCGTTCAAGTATCATTGCCACTGGTGTTTGACGGATGGGAACTGTTCCCTGATACTGCTGCCTAAAGGTTTGGTCATTTAATTAAAAAAAGCCTTGGTGCCTGTTACAAAAATATGAGATCATGAAATGCATACAGCGGTGCTGGCCACATTCTTGGAAACGGCATTCGTGGGCCCTCGAATTCATAAGCATGTCCGTCATTTCGCAGTGTCCAGAAATCGAAATCGCCATTTTTGTAGATGTGTTTCTCCCGCTCATAAAGCATTCTGGCTTCTAATTTCTCCTCTTCGCTCAAGCCCTCTTCTCGCTCCAGCAGCAGACTTTCATGTAAGAACGGCATCTAGTAAGGATCAGGACAAATTAAGGGAATCAAAAAACGCTCAAAACATGTGATGAAAGCTAAACATTTCTTTACTGAAAAATCTAAATGTTTGCGCAAAAAGGCCAAATGAACAAATTTTACTTGCGAGAACATTTTAGAGTGTGAAAGAGCTGTCATCCAAAGCAGCGAGTCATCGACCTGCCAGCTGGTCACGTCCCAATCAGCTGTGGTCACATCGAGTGCCTCCTAAAATATATCAGCTATTTCTCAGACAAGAGGTATTTCAAGAGTAACTCGAACCTGCATTTCAACTAAACAAAATTTGCATGAACTCAAATAACAAAACATACACAACATTCTTATGCACGTTTACAACCTGTCAAAACTCTCAATCCGCAGAAAAGAGGATTATGCAGAAGCAAAAACAACTTTTTTTTTTTTTAATTTTAGCCCTCTCTTTCTCTTTCCACGCCACAGGCATTTTCTTCTGAAAGTCACAGTACCATAAAGTCATTAGTCAATTCTTGCAATCCGAAATTTTCAAATGAGAACTTGCATTACCATTCTGGAATGCCTGTCACAGTTCCGTAGAGGTATCGATACAATATTGATAGTGGCGCTATATACATCTGTATGTATATATATATATATATATACATATATATATATACATGTATGTATATATATATATA